GCAAACTTAAATGATGTGTTCACATATCAAATGTTATCGCTTCCTGTTACTTATTCTCAAAACACAATCAAAAGTTGTTGTTCCTTGTTAATTGTAAACAAAGCATAACCCAAACGTTCATTAGTGAATAATGTTAATAGAATATACATAAATGTAATATGTGTTTTACAAGAAAATGTTCATTAGTGAACTACTACAAGAAGATGTTCATTAGTGAACTAATACACCGTTCATAAGTAACACGTGAAATGTGATTTGTGTTTTACAACAAACCATGCCTTGTCCATTGGTTCAGTTCCAAATAATAAACATGTTGGTCTTAAAGTGTACAATGGTCATATATGAAATATTTACTGATGGGAGCTGAATATTGTATCTCTACAATACTAAGAAGTAACACATGCAACTATACACATGTCAACACCATCACTTTCAAGTAATAGAATGGTAAGAACCAAGTATCATATTCCACAAAGACATGTATCTTAAGTTGCAAGATTTTGAATTGAAAGACTAATTTCAGATGTCGAGTTTGAAGACTTTGATTTGGTTTTGAGTTAACACTACTGAAATTACAGAATTAGAAAAGATAATATGGGTGTAAGACTTGTAGGGTGAGACATAAACACAAATTTCAGTAGACAATGTTGTAGCAATGCTACATCATGCACTCAACCATAACTAGATTCACCATCTATTTAGAAGGTATTCCTCAATCATTGCACTAATGTTATAGCTTTCAACCATATCTTTATGTGGTATCAGGACAAGTGATAGTGCCAAATGGTTACATGGATAAACATATATCTTTGTTAAAAATCACTCTCTCGAGTCGAGTATCATATCATCTAAGTTGATTTGTTCAAAGTGGTTCATCTCTGAGTCCACTTCGTTTTAAACACTTTAACAAGTGACCAACCCATCGAGAATTTATCAGTTTGAAAAACATAAACAAAAGATCTCTTTGTTAGCAACTTTCTTAAGTTTACTTCTTATATCATTCAAATTGACATACATCCAATGGCTCATCTATAACACCCAGTTTTTTTTTGTTAGTTTATTTTTGTTTTTATATGCATAACACATATGTTTTCAAAATAGTTTTATTATTATTTTTATTTAAAAAGGTTTTGTAGTATTACGTCAATTATCTAGTCGTATGGATTTTTATGAAATACGACTAATTTGTTTTCGGGAACGGTGATTTATGTCGATCATAATGAAACTTTCATATTTGAAAACGATAAAGTTTTATTTATACAACTGATTCGATATTAAATGTATCGTTTTTATTAATTTTGGGGTTCAAGCAGATATATAAGTAATATAATACATATATTTCCAGACTTAAGGATTTGCAAAGATAGTAAAGATGCTTTCCATTTTGAAAAAGAGATAAAGTTTTTACTTTAGGGTCATTTGATCAAGTCGTGAGTGATTCGTATTTGAATAAATTTTTATTAAAAAAATATCAATGAAAATCCGCAGGCCCGTGAAAATGTTTTCATACCCAGGGACTATATAGGCAGCAAGTTGGAAAATCACGCTACCTTACCCATGCAATCATAGGTCGCGGCGACCCCAACACCTTTTAATCTCGTTCTTTCTCTTTCTCCTAAATGGAGGTGTTCTGTTAAAAGAAAAGTGTCGTTACTTGTGAAGAACATAATCTTTTTGTATTATGAACCATTGAAAGGATAAATATTTTAATGTTACTTTTGAGAGGGAAATGCCTCGTTTGAAGCTATGAAACCTTGGAACATATTTGAGTAATTTTGGGTATAAACGGTTTGATGATCGAAAACTATATGTTTAATAATATTTGGTCACTTTTAAGTTATGACAAATATTAGACTAATGCAAATGGATCCATAGGCATAAAAGTCGATTTTTTTTGTATGTAAGACGGGATCATCATTCCCATATGATAGCTAGATATGGATATTAAATCATCTGAGGACTCGAGCTACAGACCGTGGGTGGTTGAACTTGATAACCGTGTGTCTTGTAGTAACTTATGTCTACCCAAAAAGTATTTTTTTAGACATTGGAGGACTCGAACTATAGACCGTGAGTGGTTGAGCTCAATGACCGATATTTCATAATAGAAGCTTTATAACGTAGATTAATGGCCTACTTTTGTGTTATGTCACAATCAACGGACATCAGATCTTCCCCGACATTGTAAGATGTGTTTTGGACCGTATGGTTCTTATTTGAAATATGTGAACTTTGGATTTTGTTCAAGTTTATAAAATGTTATCTCAAATAATTATTTGCTTTATTTTATAAATTGTCTGGATTCATTAGGTGTCAAGTCTAACGTTTTTTCTTAAAATGACATGTATATCAGGTTCTCTTAGAGGTGAGTTTCGAAGTCTTGAGAAGAGTGATTGGATGCCGGTAGAGGCACCTCTTGATTGATAGTAATGTCAAATTGGGTGTTACATTTTGTGGGGACTCCTTTTTTATGACAAAAATGACACCCGTTTAGATTGTTATATATTTGTTTCATAATATGTTTATTTCACATGTACTCATTTTACAATGTGAACTTTTTTGATGTGTTTGTAAAACAAAAAATACATGTACATTTTTTCACATTGTGAAGAGAATACATATGGACAAATATATATTAATCAATACATTAAATATTATACTTAAACGAAAAATAATGTGAAACAAAATCTTAAAATAAAAAGTTCTTACGGATCTCATATATTTTGAAGTATAAAATGATTAAGGGATTGTTTGTTTATCTCTTAATAGTTCCATTAAGAGAGAGCTTCTGAATCATTAAGAGGTGAATCTTGTTTGACAAAAAAAGAGGTCTGTCTCTTAATGGTTCTAAAACCCTATGAATGATTTTGTATCTTGGGTTTCCCTTAACCATTCAGAGCCCTAATTTCGTTATAAATAATTACCAAACAATTATATTTCATTTTACATTATATCATGAAAGTCTCTTAATCATTCTGACCACTCAATCATTCTGCACCAAACCATTCAACAATTATCAAACAACACCTAAACCCTTATATATATATATATATATATATATGTCATGTTAATGAATAATAAACTTAGGCCTCAATATGTTGTTCCAAGATTTGGTTGCATAAAATCCAAACATGCAAATGCATGTATCCATCGGATACTAATAAATGCTGTTTTTTAATACACTGTAAAAACAATATTCGATTAATGAATAAACATAATCACTATATTTCAAATTCACTTTAACAAGTTTCATTGTGCAATATAAAATTTATGACACGTTGATGCCATGTGATTGTCACGTGTGTTCATTAAACTATTGGACTTAAGGTATACATGAGGTGGTTATTTGGAAGTACTTTTAGACCGTGGACCATATGCTTCTTGTTTTAACACTTGTTATATCAAACACATTTTAATCTCATAAATACATTTAATGTTTGTACACATGATTCTTACTTTTTCTTTTCAGGTTTCATATTTCTCAATCAATTGATCTAAAGAATTGTGGGAAAAAAAGATTTAAGGTGAGAAGTGTAAAAAAGGATCTGGACCAATGATCATCTTTAATCTTAAACTCACTCATGAAGCACACTTGATACAGATTCGTACAACTTAATGTTCAAATTCATACAATCTAACTATCGGAAGGTGGGGAGGGGGAGAATGTATCCTAACTGTCGCATGAACGCAACAAAATGATCTGATACCGCAATATGCTCGACTAAATGGGCAGCGTGTCTGGCATGTTCGGCCTCCAGATCTGCCCTACTCTTCCGTTCGACCTCTATCTTGGCCTGATGGCGTTCCTCCCCACAGTCGCGCCTCCTCCTCTACCCTTGTCAGCTTCTCTCTCAACTCTGCTACCTGTAAATATTCAATATTTGACAAAAATCGGTAATTTGTTTGTAATGAAAGTAATGAGAAAGTATATAACAATATAACCAACATACCTCCATTGTTGATCTGATATCGTATGATCTCCCGGTGCTACTGCTACATGTACCGGTCATAGCATAAGAGGGATCCTGAGAGGTCCCGAAACCAAAAAGACCGTCCTTCTTCCATTCTCTGACACTCTGCTCCCAAAGAGATGCCTCATCAGGGGGAGGGTGTCGGCACTAGACTGTGACTCATCCCTAAGCGATTGAAATCGCTTATATGGTTTATCAAAACAAAAATGGGTGAGATTATATATGTAGAAATTTCAGCAACATAACGGTTGTAAATTTAACATATCCAATGCCTATTTTTAACAATTAAAACATTATAATTACTAATGGTAGTCATATTCTCAACCTATCTACTTAGCTAACGTCTATCCAATAACAGCGTCCCAAACTAATAACATCACTACGATTATTAAAATATATTACTTTAAATCTATCAAACACATCTATAAATCAAAGTAGTGGTTTTAGAAAACTTACATGAAACCTAACATATTTGGGGTAACTGAACTGATGAGAATCAATAAGCAAGCCGGAGGAACCTAGATTGAACTTACGAAACCTAGTAGCAGTCGACTCACGACCCATTACCTGTGCCTACATTAGACAATTAAGTTGTTAGTAAACATAGAGAACTAATTACATATTCCAAAAAAATTGTACACTCATCATTATGTTTCGATGTTGTGCAGTACTGATTGATCCCCGGGTGTACCTAGACGACACATCCTCAAACTATATGTTCTGATTGGTTTTATTGATCCTTGATTTCATTTTTGAAGGCTCGGTGTCCCAAACCTGTTAAAAACATAACACTAATAAAGGAATAGAAATATTAATTTATAGGTAAATGATATAATTGACGGGAATTTAACAGAGCAGGTTAACCTCGGTGTGGGTCTAGGATCACATGCAAAGTAAAATCGAAATCACGGGAAACATTTTGTAATCTTTAAACTGCAAGGATGAAATCCAAAGTTTTCAACAACTATCGGGACTAAAAATGTAATTAAGTCTAACTTGTTAGAAGGTTGGGACTTGGGAGTAATATTTGACTTTGATTTAGCACATCCTGTTAGTCTGGCATACATGCTTGGTTTTCATCGCCAAGGGTTGCAAACGGCGGAACAAACCCTAATCTGCTCAGTGATACTAATCTTTCCGGTGAATTCTCCTGCTCATACGCTGGATTACTCACTCTGATCTTTTATCTGATCCGATTTCTATCACTTTCATTCCATTTTTTTTGCTGTGACCATCGTTTTGTGATAGTATAATCGATACGGTAACTATGAAAGAGAAGAAATCAGTGAAATCAAGTGATAAGCATCAAAGCGGCCATGTTTCTTCTTTCAAGTTTGCGAAATTATTCGATCCAGAAGCTTTTTGGGACAAGGTCTGCTTTCGTAATTCGATTAATTCTCTTATCTTACTTATAGAATTATACATTAGAATATTGATCATCCACCATGTATATCAATCCGTGATCGTGTTACATCTCATATGTGAATCTTAGCGAGGAGAGGGATTGATGTTGTGCGTTTTATCGCTACATTCCATGCTCTGTTGACTGTTGATGTTTTCGATGAACAAAACTTTGGCATCTACATTCGTTTGATATAGTCGATGGTGTTTGCTCACTAGACAAATGACATATGGGCGATAAATGTGGTGAATATGAATAATTGATGTGGGAGATATCGCAATCATTTAATGCTGTTAGTTTTGAGTATTTTAGGAATGGTAGACTAGTGGAATCTGGATGCAAGATTATGACATCTAACTTATATAGGTTTTATTACTCGCATTATTGTTTTTCTGATATAAGTTCAAGTAATATAGGCTTTAATGCTCGTCTAATAGATTATATGGTTGTTGTGGTACATTGCAAATTGAGAAGGAAAAAAGGATCATCTTTGTAAGCGGCTTCATTGGTGCAGTTATTCTATACTCAGCTGAGATTCGTATTCTGAAACAAATTAGTAAAATTAATCATAACCGATACCGTGATTTGGAGTTGCAAGAAGCTTCTTTTATGGGGACTAAAAAGCAAAGGGGTACCATTAATGGTGGCCGACTCTATTTTTATTTTGAAGTATATAATGTTTATATACAACAAATAAAACTCACAGAGACTTATCATATTTAGTGAGACTTGAACCCTAACCTACAGGAAGGTAGGGTTATCGGGTGCCGCTGGGCCAATGGCTCTTTGGTGGCTGACTCTAATTTGGCTGTTATATGTTTTGCAATTATCTGAATTTTCATGTAAGGACTGATCTTCAAGCACTCAACTCAATGCATAGGTTGATAGATGTGCAGAATTGTTTCACACTTCTTGGTAAAGAAGCTAACAGCATGATTTGTAATTCTCTTCTCATAATTGCTCTATTCATTTTCGTGATCTCTTTTATTACCAAGAAAACTTCTATTTACTCCTCCATTGGAACATGGAATGCCATGAATGCTACTATGTTCTGCAAAAATTTCAAAGCTTCCTGCTGGCTGGGACTATTCTGCTTCACTCATGCTAATGAACTGAGTTCATAGAAGAACAAGCCTCTTTATTTTATTGTGATGCCCTAGTTTTAGTGGATCTATAAAATGATGAGCCACATATATCAAAAGTCGAAACAAAAGTATTTTGCATATTTTTCGTAGGTTATTCATTACTTAACTATCTAGTAGTGGGAGTTAGTTCAAGTAAATCAAATGTATAGAAAAAGATATCTGGTAGGAGTATTGGTGACACCTGGTTCAGCCCATTTTGTTGTTTTATTATAGTTGTATGGGTCCATCATTACATTCCCTCTCATGGTAACTTCCTTGGAAATCCAGAAGAACCTACGCACCTGGAATTTAAAGAATATTATGACTGGATCTGGATTTTTGTCAATAAGAAAGTTGCCTGGCTTTTTTAGATGATAATTCGTGTTTGCCGGTTGTTTCTTCTATTTATTGATACTATCATATACCATTAGTGGTGAATTTTGAGCAAATGTGGACATTTAGACAAGTTAGCGGTTATGGCCTAGCATGTCCTGAGCTCTTGATGCAGAAGGATGTTTGGTTCCAATAAGAAATTGAGTATTAACAACGGAGCCTTATGACCTTTCATGGACCCATAAAAGCATGAGATATAAATGTAAAACAATATTCTGTCAGGTTATCGGGTAACTTAGCCTTGTCATGGACCCAATTGGATAGGGCACTATGTGAGCAACATGCTGGACCTTCCAGCTCCAGTTTTTTATTTTATTTGTGGGAAGGGCGAGTTTGTAAGGTGCTTACATATCTGCAAAGATTTATAGTAAATAAATCCATGGCCATTTGCTAATTCTTCATCTGTGACTGCTGGTGTAGCTCTTTGTGTACTTAGGGTCCTAGTTGGTACTTGGTAGCATAAATAAAATACATATGCATTGGAATGCTAAGTTGAATCATTTTGGTCTCAGATATGGTTTCTCCCTTCATTACAATGAAAGAATATGTCCGGATTGATTTTTTAACATGACCATGGACTAGGAGATCTCATGTATTGCTTTCTTTTTTGTTTTAATTACCCTACCCATATGGCCTCCTCTTATACCCTCCCCTATGGTTTTCCCTTCTTTTCATCCTTTGAGTATGATGGTACAAGAAGGTATGTTGTTTTATTTATCTTGGTAGAATGACGGGATACGTTGAGGATGGATTTTTAAAAAATAAGTTTGGACTATGAGATCTCATAAATTTGCTTCTTTTTGTTTTAATCATAATTATGTATGTTATCGAGTTAATGACCTCCTTCTTCCCTTGATTCTTCAACTGCAGGACCAACTAGGAGATGTGCTTCATTGGATTCGGCAAATAGTGGCCCTTGTATGTGGGTTGCTATGGGGTTCAATTCCATTGGTTGGGGGCATATGGCTCGTTTCGTAAGTTGATTGCTTGTACACTGTTCTCTAGATATTATATTAAAGTTGGAACCTGGTTTAAGCCTATGTGAATCTCTGACTTGTTATCTTGGAAATGCTTTCTCTTTCTTTATAAAACAGTATGTGTTAAATCCACCCATGTAGATACTAGCCCCATGTGTATATATGTATACCAAAAGGTTACTTGGGAGGGGTTAGTACTGTTCAACCAAAGGCCTTTTGTTTTCTACCTTCTTAAAAGGTACGACCATTATTTATTATGTACTTCCTGTGGTTTTGTTGCTTTTGTCATTGCTTTCTACCATCTGGTTTAGCATGTTTGAAGGTTTAACTGTTTTGCATGTTTGCTGCAATAATAATATTTGTTTATAGTCGAAAAAGTCCCCAATTTTTGGGTAAAGAAATTAGCACCTCTTAAAAATCCAACTCGCTTCACACCTTCCCCTGATACTGATGCTTGCTTGTGATTTTTCTTAGGCAACTTATGTTTGTTGAGTTTTAACCAAGAAAAACAAACCATGTAATGATCAATTAAAAGTACTGATTTTGATGGGTTCAAGTTGCATGAGTCTACTTGTGAGCATATGAAGGGAATGCTAGTTGCAAATATTGTTTACCAAGTGGAAGTTATGAGCTCAAGTGCTCTACTTTCTGCTTTAAATTTGTAATTTCTCCATTGTTACTTCTGCCCAACTTCAGGAATCACGTTGTAGTAATTGAGGAAGACTCCTTGGTCTTGCAAGGTTGGAGAAAGAAATCGCTGTATGCCACATTTATTCTGCATTTTTGCAGAAAAAGTTGTTTCCATGATTCAAACCCACGCGTCCATGACCCTCCATCCATCACAAAGGATTAACATTACGCTTTACTCTAGGCTCTCCCTTAATCTATAGTTTGGCCGAAAAATATATACTTAAGACCAAGATTCCTATTTTAGTAGGTTTCCAAATTATAAATCTCCATAATTTTGTATACCTTGTTCATATAGCAAATTGTACCCAATAAACGACGCGATATATATGCAAAAAGCATAACCAATACAAGCCTTGTTGTTATTTGTTAATGAGCTCTATGATGCCAAAATCTGGCATCTGATTGCGCTAGTAAAATTCTATGGAATAAACAGATCTCCAAAATCTTCTCCAACTTCATGGTGTATTTCTGTTATTTTAATCGGCCATCAACTGCCATAATTGTTGAGAGCATTATATCCCGTGAGGACTACAAATTTTAGTTAGAATATACATCTTTTATGTTATTAGATTTTTTTTTTCCTGTAATTACATTCCACAAAAGATAAAGGAATGCAAAGTTTTTGATATCCCATTTATTGGAAAGTTGTCTTGCCTCTGTTACAACCTTACGTGGTGTTGGTTCTATTCATTCTTTATAAAGAGTCTCTCTGTAACATATATTGTTTTTGGTTTCAGATTCCTGCTTATTTCTTCTGGCATAATCTACGGATATTATGCAATCATATTAAAGGTTGATGAAGAAGAATTTGGCGGACATGGATCCCTTCTCCAAGAGGGTCTTTTTGCTTCAATTACACTCTTTCTGGTAATATTTTTTCTCAGATTGTGTTTATATCTTCTGCAAGGTACATTTTACTGGCTTCTTCTGGTTTTTATGATCTGTGTTTCCTTGTTTCAGCTGGCTTGGACTCTAGTATACAGCTTGGCTCACTTCTGACCTGGTTCGTTTCTGAGACTTGTTTGTAATCTCTTAGCTTCGGGTCTTTATGGTTGCCTTTTTTGGAAGCACGTTTCAGTGGAGGCAGGGTTTCAATCCAGCTTAAACAATGCCAAAGCTTCTCTCGTTGAACATCATATTTTATTTGTTTGATTGTGCAATATTAGGTGTGCTTTGAACTAGTTATTGGTTCCTAGCAATCGTCTCGTATTAATTGCAACTTTGCACTTTCGTTATGAAAATGCATTGACGGATAATTATCGATTTGGAATATAATTTTTGGAGGATATTTTAGACATTTTGATTAGTAGCTAAACAGTTTTATTTTATTATTGCTGCAATTGTTATAAGATATTGAATTTGGTTTGATAAGACACTATTTGTTTATACATTTTTATCCGTTTATTGGTCAATGTATAAAAACGTATAATTGGTCTTGTAACCGGCTCCTTAAGGATGAGTTTCGTATGTTATAAGATTGGATGAGTAGGTGGATTAAAGAATTGTGGAAGGTTCTAAGTTTTTTTAATTTGATATGGATAATTTAATAATTTATTAATCTTGTTTCGTCTTCCGGATTTTACCTGTATTGGTGGGACAAATTAGGTTTTGTTTTGTCGTAATTTAATATTGTACCAAATGTATCTTGTATTAACAATTCAATAACTAGAGGGAAGTTCCGTTTAAAATTTGGAAACGTCCATAGCTCACTACCTGTCCCTCTTCATGATATATATGAAAATATGATTCATCATGAGTCACACATTCATGATAAATATGTAACAACATTCATAATGAATAACATGACCATACTCGTGAATCATGATGAATATAATACCATACCACGTGTCATGCTGTGAGTGTAACCTATTTCAAAGTAACTAATACTTTACATAAATGACACATACATAAAGCATTAAATATAATTAAGAGCACCCAAGTTTTGTTTACAAAATTAGAACGCCTTGATCAAAGCAAATCATCATTCAGATGCATATTGAACAATAATTTTTCATCATGTACAAACCAAAGTTATTAGGGCCCCTAAGTTTTAAGTGAAGGGGTTGTCACATGGCAACCGAACTGTACAGTTGTTTGGTATCAATTTAAACGAGTATAACGATCTGTATGGCTTATTCAACTTGAATCATAAGCTAAAGGGATTGTTTACCAACAGCTCGGAATACATCCTAATAACACCCAACTAATTTTCACAATCAAATATGTGAAAGACCACAATTTTTTTCAACCAAGTCCTGCAGTTTATATTTACCGTAGAATCTAGTTCATAGCCATGATGCATTTTACAAATTCATGTGGGGGTGTGTGTGGCCACTCCTATAATAAATTACTTGCTTTCTTTCTTTCAGATCATCAAAGAATCATGCAATTAAATCATTCATCTCACGTCCATCTTTCCCCTCTGTTCCTTCGTCGTCTTCTGATCAAATATATTCGACCATAAACCCACCGTTTCTCTGGTCTTGCAATTGATCTCTGCAAATAATACAGCATTTGTTCATAATTACATTTTACACCAACAGTTTGAGCTAATGAATAACTCTATAAAAACTGAGAACAGATTTTGTTTCAGTATTTACCTCGACTTTGGTGCGGAATTCTAATAAGCATTCACATACATGACATTCAGCTCTATGTGTGGAATTATTGAACTGATTCGATTTCACAAATGCAAATACCTGCATGTTAAGAGGCAGTTTTTCAGGCTGTTGACTAATGAGCCACAAAAACGAAGATGAATTAAAAAGCATAATTAAATGATGTATCTTCTATAAGTTTAGGCAGAATAGAGTTTTGGTTAAACCTACCTCCTCCCCACAATTTGGACATGCCCCTTTTAGCGCTACCAAATCATTTTTCCAAAGGCCTTGAAGCGCTCCAACTGTTGGGAATTAAGAGCAAGCACTTCACTAAGATAGCTTTTAACGGTGAAAAATGGAACATATCTGCTCGACATTCAGACAATCAATATATAACACTTGATTTTGAAAAAGGTGCATTTTGAAGGGAGCGGTATAAATCCTGAAAAGATGTTCATGAACTTTAACAAAAATTATCTAATTGATGCTTTATTTTAGTGTAAATCTTGGAAAAGATGCTAGTCAGAACTTTAACAAAATTAATGATGCAACCTTGGTAGTGTTTAGACTTATATAAGATGATATAATGCAAAGAACAACTGAATTAACGTATTACCAGAAGCTGAGGCAACTGGATAGCCAATCATGGATCCCAGCATCATTATAAGCATGCCGTTGAACATGGCAATGAACTCGAGCACAGGAGCTTGACTACTGATGGATAATCCTGAATCTAGCGCATCTTTAAAGGCTTGGCCAAAAGTGTAAATAACAGGCACAAGACAGGCTGAACTTCCAAATCCAAGAAACAATAGCCACACACTTGCTAATGCAAAAACCTGAGCAGGATCTTCCTGCCCTACATCCACATCATATAACATTTTAATGGAAGAATATAAAATTTACTAATCACTAGGATAGAACAACAAAGAAGTGGAAACCATGCCTTGTATTAAAAGCAATCAAAGCATGACCACTTTAGAAAACTAATGAAAAACTGGAAAGTGCTAATAGCAGAAGTCCGTCAACAAATATAAGTTGGTTGACACTCAAACTGAACAATGGAACTAAAACATGCATATCTTGCCAATCTCAAATAGCAGCCATGTGTATTCATACAACAAATTACCTCAGCATCAGCATAAGTTGACTGCTGCCTTAAACTGCAACGTGGATACTTGACGACATATTTTGATCCATACCACCGCAACTTTAACTGTTCAGTCGCCTTTCTCAAATAAGTAACCAAATGAAGATTGATAGCCCCAATTGAGAAAAGAGTTTGAGATTACCTCTACCCTATCAAACATGTCGTCAACTATCAATGGTTTCCCACTATAGTACGCATCCCGTGCCTAAGTCAAGATGATTCAAGAAAAATGTGAAGAAAATGGTGATCAGTGATTAATTAGCAGTACACAGATGGGGTCAAAGGAAAATGGTGGTCGTTAACGCAGGAATCAGCTCTAGCAAGATAACACCTTATACAGACAAGACAGAGATCATGGTAATTTGAAAGTTCTGTATCCCAGGTAGAGTTCCAGGATTTTTCTTTAAGAAGCTCAAATATTAGTATGTATGTTGATGATAAGATGCTTAAATCCAACATTCCCATTTTCCATCCACAAATCAAACTGTACAAGCAAGCATTTTCTATGGTGACGACAACTTTAGAAATCAAAATCTTATAAAAAACAGAAAGATTCATCTTCCAGGCTATGCAGTTACAACGGTCAAAATTTGAAATAGCGGTCAAGACCATGATCAAATATAGCAGTTATCGCGATGGTAAAAAGGTGGTATAGCGGTCCATAAAAGTGGTTCATGTAATAACTGCAATTATATATAAATGTATGAATGTATACATAATATAATATATATTTTGAAGATGAACATAAGAACGCGTGAATAGAAGATTTGATGAGCAAACGATGTTGAAAGACAATGTTGTTGTGATTTGTGAAGAGGATTCAGAATAGTAGACTGGAATAGAAGAGATGTGAGAGGAATAGCGAGTTTACACACCAATATTGCAAATCAAATTCAAGTCCCTAGCTCATAATCCTTTAACCGACTTCTGTAAGCCATTTAAAAGGCTAACTAAAAACCCAACTCCTAATTGTGGTTTTCACACCGCTACTGCAAATCACAATTGCGACCCAATTCGGTGATGAGGGCCGCTATTAGCGGAACCACTAATTCCCCTAGGACAAGTAACCGCAATAGCACCGCCTATTTCACCGCCATAAATTAACAGCATAGCTTCCAGGTAAAGCGAGCGCAAGGTTAGTAGTCCTCAAGAAAGTGATTGCAGAATTTGCTACCCTTGCCAAGAAATAACTCACGAGTTCCATAGAGTGCTCTAAAGTAATCCAGTCTATTGTAATTTTCAGCTACTCCTTTGACAATCTGAGTCATAACATGATGAATATGTACAAAACCAAGGTTATAATACATAATTCGATTTGTTGAAATAAGGTTCCCAGTTGGCTTTGTATGAAGAAGCCTATCTTTCTAGCCCTAAATAAGGGGCTGTTTGGTTGGTTCTCCATTAAGTCTTATATATATAAAGTTGTATGCATGGATTAATATGTCTGTATTGATACTGTGAATGTTTTTGATTGTGAGGGTTTTTTCATAGATGGAGAGGGCGTATTTTTTTAATTTGGAGGGGCAGGTTTGGAAAAAAACTTGGCTTTCTGCATAAAGAAGCTTACTGAATAAGCCACTTTCTATATCATTAATCATTACCAAACAGTCGAGCATAGCTGACCGAGTAAGCTATGGATCCGGTTAAACTCATTGAGATGCTAAGAAACAGACCCTAAGCCGACCTTAGGAGGGAGACTTCCCTCGACCTGAAGACTAAAACCTAATACGAGATAGTGATCCTTGCGTGAGGAGCTCAACTAGGGGAACTACAGGCAAGCCATCATCCAAAAGAAACAACAAAAACTAAACTAGTTTGATAGCTATTCAGTTTAGCATAGTTTGTCTTAAATTTGCTTCGTTTAACCCTAATATCAGAAACTGCACAAAATTTAAACAATCCACAATACTCGTATCCATGTGCTCAAGTGTTCACTGAGCAAGAACATATTCTAAATTGAAAACCCTCGTTAATCGGTGTAAATTTTTAAACACAGACCGTTGATCAACAAATTAGCAGATAACAGCGTCAAATGACATCTACTAAAATAACGAATCACATCGAGAATTTCAATTTCAGAAGTTTTAAATTGTTAACATAGAATCCGTACCTGACGATAGAGAGCTTCTAAAGTTTCCTGGCTGGCGCTTTCGATCGGACCGACGAATATGCAAGAAGGTCCCTCAACTAAGAGCCTATTGAAGTCTTTGGTTACAAACGGTCATATGACTGAGTCTGTTTAGATTTGAATAAGWATTTTGAATTAGTCCTAGTTGTTCCTATTTCTTAGCTGATAGTTTGCTGTTCTGTTTCCTGTGTAAGCCTATAAAAAGGCAGCTTGATTTATTGAATAAAGTATCACATTTCAGAGTCAAATTGTGCGTATTATCACCTGGTTTTAACAGAGCCTAGATGCAGGTCGGCGGTCTTGGTCACTTCGAATCGAAAGTCCGTTGTTGCTGCTGTGCTTACAAGAAATACGAACCAGCTGTGACGGCGCCAAGGTGCGGCCATTTCTGGAAAGCTCAACGACAGTAGAGCCGATAACGTGAGGATTGGGTACATTGGCGTTGGTTCCGGCGGCCATAAAGTAGACTCACCGTCCGGCGATAGTTTTCTCCGACAGGAATAGTAGCGTGTGGCGTCGTGGTGGTGCAGAACCGCAAAGAATCATGAGGTTGTAAATGAAATTTTTTGAAGTTTTTCGTTTGTGGACAGGAATGGAGAAGGCGTCTTGAAAACGAAATGTCGAAAATGCCCTTCCAGATTTTCTTGCATTAATGGGCCCACGTTAATCTTCATTTTTCTCCATCGATATCCATACACGAGTCAACTGTCGTACAAGTAAAATCGTGTACAACTCCTACTTACGAAGTATTGAGTATTGATGTCAAATTCGTCGTCACAGAATGATTATATTCTTTAACGTTAAACTCTCTCGAAATTGTGTCACACATAAGTAAATATTGGATTCATATGAAGCTCCCATGATGGTTAAACTCCTTCGATAACTCGTTTTCTCACTAGATGGTGTGTAAATATGCTTGCCCAACATACACTGATTTTCTCCCAGTGAACACATAACACGCTCATCTTGGATGCACATATTGCCAAAGTTACTGTCTTTCCAAAACGTGAATCTACTTGCATTTTGAAATTAATTTTATTCATAACTGTTAGGATAAAAAACCACACAACTTTGGTGGCAAATTTGTAATAAACAAACTCTAAGGACCAAAACCAAGTAACCCGAAAAAAGAAGGACCAAAAGTTAAATTTTAATCTAATAAAGAAGTTAAAAAAAATGCGTTTGCCGGGAGTCGAACCCGGGTCTATTGCTTGGAAGGCAATTATCCTAACCGTTGGACTACAAACGCTGCTTGCTTTACTTTCTACTCAGTTATATTAAAATATGTGTATATAATACATTTTTAAAATTAAGTTAAATTTATGTCAAATTGAAATATATGAATTTCTTAATATTAAAAGAATTGGAGGTAAAATAGAAAACTTATTTTTATTGCTTTCAAGCTACATTGTCAAATAAAAAATTAGTTTTAGCTAGATATATAAAACCCTACCATAAAAATTATATCTCATGCAATATACATTAAACAGTTAATTTGACTTTTACTACATCAAATATTTTAAATAAAAATGTTTGAGGTGAAAAGTTGATTACTGGTAATGTCAATCACAAAACTTGCTTTTAAAGAAAGAGATGTCCGTTTATCCACTCAATAAATGAAGTTAGAAAATTGAATCTGAAACTTGTCTTGTATTTGAACAATTTATATATATATATACTAAAAAGGTAATCGTACAATGCAGTGAAATACATCTCGATTTTAGTGTTTCTTTTTTTTGTCTTAGTCAATGTTATAATACGATTTTATGTGGTTTTGAGAAAACGATAATGTTTTTATTTTTGAATAAAATATAAATATGAAGATATCATAAAAAAAATATTAATATTAGTATCAGACTAACTATTTAAATTTCTCGTTTTTTTTATGTTTCTTTAATTCATTTTTTTTTGGGTTTGATAATATATTTTTTTATAAAGATAATAATTAAGTATTTTGTTAGAAATCAATGATTATCCTAATTATATTATAGTTTTTTATATTCAAAATGAGATGTGCATCCTTTGTTTAATTATGACTATCTGAAGTTAGTTACACGAATTCATACATGAAACTTTAATAAATTGAATTTATTCACAATTACTTGTAATCTTGAATTCTAAGTAATTTGCATAAATAAACAGTACTTCATGCATAAAAAATGATTTTTAAGAGTTTTTGTCAAATGTTTTATAATATAAGTGTGTGTGTGTGTATATATATATAAAGAGAGAGAGAGAAAGAAGAGTGATCAAATAGAAGCCATTCAATTTGTACAAACCGTACAAACCACCCTCATCCGTCGATTTCATTGTTTAATCTTATAAAAATTTTCCATGAAATTGTTTAATCTTGTGAAATTGTTTCATATAATATCTTTTTTTGATGATATTATTTCATATATGGTTATGAAATTTTAATGAAACTGTTTCATGTATTTCTCTAAAATTAAAATAATGAAGATGATAATATCCATGATTAACACTCTTCACAATAAAATTGATAATCAACCTCTTATAATTACAAAAAAATAAATAAAATGAAAAATTATGATTGATTAAATGAGGTTTGTACGAATGGTTTGCAAAGTAAACCTCATATATATATATATATATATATATATATATATATATATATATATATAGGAGTGATCAAATAAAACCGCCCTCATTTGTGTAAACCGTGCAAACTACCTTCATCCGTCGATTTCATTGTTTAATCTTATGAAATTGTTTAATCTTGTGAAATTGTTTCATATAATACTTTTTTTATCAAATTGTTTCATATAATACTTAATGAAACTGTTTCATGTATTTCTTTAAAATTAATGAAACTGTTTCATGTATTTCTATAAAAATTAAAATAATGAAGATGATAATATCTATGATTAACACTCTCCACAATAAAAATGATTAATCAACCT